CATCACAGAATATTGTAAATCCTCCAGAACTCGATGGTAAGGCTAATATTGGTGTGGTTGTCAGACACATTTTGAGTTTTTGAAAGCACTACTCACATTCTTCGGTCGACTGAAGCTTTGCATTTTTCTATGTTGGCTTAGTCAGTGGCGCTGCTGTTCTGGAGAAATCCTGCACAAAACGTCTGTAATAGCTTGTGAAGCCTAAAAAGTTACGAATCTTTATAGGAGAAGTAGGTTTGGGCCATCTCTGCACAGCTTCTATCTTCTTGGTATCTACCATAATTCCATCTTTGGATACAACATTCCCCAGAAATGTTGTTGAGTCTAGCCAAAATTCACACTTTGAGAACTTAGCATAAATCTGACGTTCTCGCAATGTCTGCAACCAATAATTCATCTTAACTTTATTGACCCACCAATAATTAAGGGCATAGCGCATGCATAATACGCGCTACATATATAGTGCCTATTATGCATGCGCTAGACCCTCAATTATTGTACTCCCGGGACTGTTTTTTTTACTTATTTAAGGAGTTTCAAAATTTAGTAAAAATCCATTCAGGATCCTTCAGGTCTTCCGAAATATTTGTTGGTTAACTTATTTTGCATTTTGTCATAATGTTCGAAGAGCGAAAAATTAGGGTTTCATTATATTGGGGGGGTGAGGTTGTGGTGGAGAATAACTCAGTACGCTATACTTGTTCTCCACAGTGTCATGTTAAGTTGCCACTTCCAATGGAGTATGATAGATTGGTATTGTTATTATGTAAAAAATGAGTGAGGAAACGTTCAATTAATATTACAGTAACCGGAAAATATTCGTATTCTGTTACTCCGCAAGGGGTTGCTTGTTATGCTGAGTTTAACATCGAAAACGATAAAACTCTGACAGATTTTTGAAAACTCCGGATGAATACCGGGAACTTCTTGTGATAAAAATGTTAGAACGCCAAGGCTAAAGACGTCTGCAATATTGAGGTTCCGCAAAATAGGGATAACCCTCAATCATGGGGTGATTTTTTGGAGCAGTTTTATCCGAGCAGGTTCCGTTTGAAAGAGTTTGGCCAGATCCAAACTTATCTCCACGGGCGAATGAGGAACGAAGACATAATTTCTCTTCAAGTTTACATAATCCACAAGTCGAGTGGTAAACTTCAATTTTCCTTTGTATTACGATATATTTTTTTTATGTATTGTATTTGTATTAACACTCATATATTCCACAAGGGTACCGGCCAGATATGAATTTTACAAGTTATGAACCAACGGACAGTTGGAACATGCCTAGTTTTGGTGTATTGGATCATGGTGGTCCATCCGGGAGTCATCAGTAGGATATCAACAGATTATGATTTGTAAGTTAAGTGATAAAGTTTATATGTAATATTTGGATGAATTTGAGAAACTCATTATTTTATTAGTTGTGCAGTGAAAACTTAGCAACTTGAAGGTCCTGTCCTTGCTCAATTGCCCGAAGACGATATATGTAATCGGGATTTGGCAGATGCGCAGAGTCAGGAAGATGATAGTGATTATGAAAACAATGCCAATGAGTCTGGAGATCACACACCCTTCCCTGATGAGGGTGATGATGATGAGGACGAGAATGATGAACCTGATTTGACGAGGGAGCATGATGCCACCAATCAGCATGCTCCATATATGCAGACTCCACCTCCCGTTAGACCGAGATTGTACGAGTCCCATGTGTCGTTTCATTCAAGGGAGATTCCCTACCTTGATCAGTTACCTAGTATGCCGAATGTGGATGCCCTCACAAGGGATCTTGACGACATTCGGACAACAATGTAGGATGAATCTAGACCAACGGTGCTGTCAAAGATTATGCTTTTTGATAGCGCGACTAAGCAGGGCGATACGAATGTATAGCATAAAAGAGTGTCGTGGTTCATGAGTCATCTCCTAAGCCCAAACCTAATATAGATTGTGGACGTAAAATTTAAGGCATTTTTTACTGTATATTATAATCATGAAAAGAATTGACTATGTTTTCACCTGCAGCAATGGTAAAAAATCGGCAACGTCTCTCTAGGTGCCCATGCACACCCGAAACATCTGCCTATACAGGTAAGCTAGAACAGTTGCACCCCAACTGTAACAAGATAAATCATCTAGCCACTCCAGAAAATGTAGACATCACAAGCTGACTAGGTTTTTCAAAGTGTTCGGGAACAATATACCACCAAACATCATCAGCAGCAACAGTCTCGTGTGCCGGTCGATATCCTCTAGTGACGAATCATTAATAATCTCCGCATCCATCACCACCAAATGTTGCCGAACGGGCGTCAGCTGCAATCAACTAGCCCAACTCAATGCACTCGACTCCGCTGGCTAGAAACCGGTAAGCCGCTGCAACACATGAAGGTAATCTACTCCTGTATAGTCTCTAAGAGCATGCGGGTAAGCTACAGGTATACCATCAACAGGCAGCCCGAAAAGAACCTCCACGTCCAGTCAAGCGTGATGGTAGCCTCGTCGATGGGTAGATGAAATGTGTGCATCTCCGGTCGCCACCGCTCTATCATAGCCGTGATCAATGTTCAGTCGAACTGCGACTGGCCGATCTCTATGATCCTGTAAAAACTCGTATCCTGAAGGCATCTAACTATACGAGGATGTAGTGGGTGGTCCCTAATGAACTCCCACATATCGTCTATACATCTGGGGCGGAATATCTAGGCCAGACACCGCCCATCCCAGATGTGTGAAGACCTATGATTGCCTTGTAGCAACAGTAGCTCTCGAGATGCAGGTCCAGGATGCACAGGGGGAACCTCCATGATGATGTATGTAAATTGAACAATATTAATTAAAGTATTTTTCTGTTTAATTATTTAACATCTTTAAATATGTTGCAATATCTTTTATATTAATATTTAATCAATAATTTTTCTATATTATTACTTAGGTTGATACATTTTCTATATTATCATTTTATATGTTAGTTTCTTACTCAGCTATTTTTGGGTATAATAGAATTGAATAATTAATTTTTATAACTATACATGATATAATTAATAAGTATTCATATAAAAATACTTAGTTTAACAAATTTCTTATATTGTTGTTTTTTATGTTATTTTCTTACATTTTTTTGACTAAAATTCGAGAGGGCTTATGTTTGAACAATCATCTTTTTTTTAGATATTTTTGGGGTTAACAGAGAATTAAATAATTAATTTTAATAACTAAAAAGATATTTTAGTAATTATTCATATAACAAATACTTAGGTTGATAAATTTCCCATATTAATATTTCATATGTTAGTTTCCTATATTTTTATACTAATTGAATACTCTATCTGAGTTTGTTAAAGAGGGCACGTATTTTTTATTCTACACAAAGGAATCTTAAAGAGCACTAAAGTAACACTACTCTAAATGGCCATAAACAAAGTCAACTACCATAAGCTAAAATTTATTATTAGTTTTCCTACAATAAAGGGCACTACATAACAATTAAGGGCACAACATAACACTAAAGGGTACTAAACAACAGTGAAGTCACATATTAATATATGTACAACAAAAAAAATCACATATAACAATAATTATTTATAAAATAATAATATATATTTTTTTAGTAATTTTTTAGCATGTAAATAAACTAATCCAGATAAAAAATAAAAAATTAATTAAATCACAAAACGATCACAAAAAAACATACACCACAGTAAAAAAATAACTAATAAGCATTTTATATACATGAGTTTTACCAAAAAGTAAGTCGGAATACCTCGATTTAAAGTCTTTTGAAATGTGAAAGTTTGATGATTTGGGGGCCGAAACGAGCAATAGACGAGATCCACTACACGACAACGCCTTGGATCCGATATTAGCTTGCTAGAATACAAGACACTTTTTGGGGGACGAGTGGGCTCCAATGAAGTTTTATTGCTAAAAATATTNTAGCATAGCGCATCCTGCATATGCGCTATATGTAAACTTTGCCAGCCAATTTAAAGTTCAAATTTAGCGCACCTTAACGGACAAACGTGCCGTTACGATATAACACGGCGAAAAACTGCATTATGTATAAAATGGTACTCAGTTGTTTTTTATCACCTATTTTTATTGTTTGAGTCCAAAAAGACAACATTTTGGTTCAGGGTTCCTTGGCTGAGCCATGCCGATATGAACGACTGTACTTTAGAAAGGTCGATATCTCCCTTACGACCAAATAATTTAGGCCCAAATTAAACAAAAGAACTATGGGTTATAGAAGACGACCAATAAATATCATGTTTAAAGCTCCTACGCTTTTCAAGAAAATCTTAAATAAGCCCTTAAGCCATTTTTAGTGTCACTCAACTGCCTAAACTTTTATTGTGGTAACACACAACCCACTCCCCTCAAGTTCTACTCATAAAAATTATCTTAGAACAAGAGAGCAATTTAGATTTTTCTTATTATCAGAGGGGCTCAAATATTTCTATCCTCCTATGTGTTAGCATCCCCTAACTTTGAAAAGGAAATTCTGCCACCTTTCTAGCATAAAGAGAGGAGAAAAATATTCTTTAAACCCCTAAATTTAACTATTTATATTAAATAAAAGTGATGGAAAGGGTTAAAACAAAACAAAAGTTCACGGGCTTGAGTGAGCTAATAGTGGTAACCGCTTGCGAGAGACATTTTTAAAAGTTTTAAGGGCTTGCCTTTAATACCTTTAGGGATCGTTTGGTACATGGGATAAGGATAATGATCCTGATCTAGACTTTGGGATTAACTTTATCTCATGTTTGGTTTGGGGTATTAGTTAATCCCGAGACAACTTTTACACTAAAATGGTGGAATTAGTTATCCATATAAAAGGTGGGATAACTAATCCCATGGGATATCCCACAATTGTATCAAACGACCCCTTGTAAGCCTCGGAACTAGTTCCAAGATCAAATTACACAAACAGGTATTATAATGTAATTCCTAAACCTCTGTTAGTATGGTCAAGATTGAGCATCAAGAATAAGAAAACATATTGAAACATGGAACTACATTTGAATGATGTGTGGCCAGCACGACATGCAATTACATTTGAGTTATCCAGAAATATACTTCCAACAGAAATTGGAAGATAAGAATGGGTCAAAATATATCTACCATGTCCAAAATGATGCAAAGTAAGGTGGTAATCATATCCAACTCCTAGGAGATTAAAGCTTCTCCATGCAAAATACGTCTTTCCCACTTGTCAAAATATATGTATCAATCTTTTCAGCCTTAAAGGCAATCTTTCAACTAAACAGGGAGTAAAACGAAGCAGAAACCATCTACCTTAGCATTGTGTGAATTAACATACATATGAAAGTACATTACCTTCTAGTCAAGGAGATTAGAGAATCATACCACATTTGATTGTTGGGGTACACAATTACGATCTATCTGATATTTGTACCTACAAGTTTAAGAGCGATGATATAGAGAACAGTCAATGTTGCAAGCTCGTGGTGACAAGGAATATCCTATAGAGAGAGAAAACTATCAAAACCCAATTCTTTTGCTAAACTCACATCATCAGACAGTTGGCTCCTTACAGAGTACATTGACTTCAACATTGTTTCTAAAGTGCCTTTGGTCAACTGGAACTGCACATCCCTTTCTTTGCAGCTAGATTTTGCATCACCTTGAAGCTGCATGGAACAGGCTTTAGAAAAACTATTAAAAGCACAAAACTTTCCATTTGTCACATTAAAATGAAAAGACAAACATGAAAAGCAAAGTCACTATGCTCTTTCCTGAAAGTCAGAAGCCTGAGGCCAAAAAGGAAATAAAATGGAAAGAACTCACTTTTCTTTGCTAAATAATGATTGCTAATAGACACAACCCAAGGAATGAGTAAGGCTTGGTATGGAACGGCTTAATATATGACCAATCACATAAGAAAGCAGTCCATAAATGTTAAGCAATTGATTTTTTTCATCATAGGAGTGAAATACCATGGAAATTCTTCTTCTCTTTCTCCAGATTGACATGCCAAGATAGATAACTTGTACCTTTTTTATAATGGTACAAAAGTAGATATATCATTTGTACCTTTAAATTTGTAATTGCTGCAGGGCCTCCAATTTCACTGCCCTCATTTCCCCTGCTCCATGTCATTGCTCTCAGTTGAGGCAACATGACCTGATTGTGGATAAGATTCAACTTTAGTGTTCCATTCTTCAGCTAGATAATACTACATGCATTACTGCTGAACCTATTGAGACAGTTTCAGACCCGGTCATTAGCTGTATATTCTTTAGCTATATCTTCACGCCACTCCTTTTGAAATTTTTGCAGTAGAAGTGTTAATAATCTTTGTAACTCGGGTTGGACCTCAGCAGGAAACAACTTTTGAATTTCATCCTTCTTGGCATTCTCATAAACACATTTGCGAATCAAAATACGAAGGCACACCAGAAGCTGCAAAACAAACATGTAAATATGATGGCTGATATAAGAATCACATTACTTGAAGTAATTTTTTTTTTTGAGAATGGTAACAGTTATCACATTACTTGAAGTAATTCCCATATCTTTTTATTTCTTCCCTTTTTTTAATAAGTAAACTTTTAATAACTAATGTAAGAAACTTCAGGAATGAAACCAAATAAGCTCATTATGCAAAATAGAGATGACTATAGATTACAGATTAAATTTTACATTCTTACAACTAATAAAACAAACATTTGTATATGATACTTAGACGTACACAATATTCACATAGAGAAAATTCCAGCAACCTGATCACCGCCTGCACAAATTTAACCTATATAAAACACAAAGTAGCACCAACATAAGGAGGAACCAGGCTAATACCTGAAGGTGCAGCTGTTCTGAACTTTACATCAGAATATCAGTATTCCTCCAAAACTATCATTCTCATATGCAAATGACGAAACAATAAGGAATGATTCATTTAGAGAAAAACAAAGTTGCTAAAACAATGTTCATCCTTTCGTAGCAATGGGCTATGCTTAAAGGATGATAAAAGTTACAGAGACTCAGTAGATGCTACTAAACAAATGCAGTTGAACGCATTTGTAGAGAAATCTTCATGTTGCAAATTATATTCCTTCTGAAAAGCTGTAAAATGCAATAATTTATCTTCACTACATTCAGTTTCTAGCTTTGCCCAGATCTTCTACAGAGCCCATCGACAAGTACAATCTCACGGGGTATACAATGGCGATAGTCCTAGAAAAACACACTGCACGTTCTATATGCTACCATGTAGTACTAGATGTTGGAGATATTGCATTTTAACATTAAAACTAATATTATCCATTTGCATGACTTTACATTTTAATGGTATAATGGTGAAAAGTAGTCATATTTTCTTGTATGACTCTTGAAACCACTATCTCATGATCTATCCATTTATTACCCTACTAAAAGTTAAGTTACTAGTCTTTAACCCATGATCTCGTGTTCATACAATTTTATACTCACCTAATTCTTATTTATTATATGGAAGAATTTCTACATGTATAAATAGGAGACTTTCTTCCTTGTGGTGATGCACCAAAAGGTTTTGTTCAGTACAGAAGGGTCACTGGAATTAAATTCCTTAAATCTGTAGGGAACCTAAGAATTCCAACATTACATCAATGCCAATCAAAAGAAGCATTACACCATATTTTAAAATTCTGAATAAATCTATATTTCACAATAGAATGTTCTCCTTCATGCACTCAATAGACTTTGATTCCTTTCAAGGTATTAACCACATGAATCATAAAACAGAGATGCTTCTCAAATCTTCTTCTACTTCTTTCTCAGTGGCCAACTTTTCCAACTCCTTAAAGTCTGCTTGACATTGGATGGCATAAAACAGTGCATCCCATACAAATTCAAAATCATGCCCCGTATTTTCCAAACATACTTGCAAACAAAAAAAGATGATTCATCGACTCCCTCTTCCCCTACAAATATAACACTGGATACATAGGTTAAAGCCCCTGCTCTGCAACTTATCTTGTGTCAAACAAGCTTCGCCTGATGAATCCAACCAAACATTCTTTGCTTGGAGCCTCGGATTTCCATGTTATTATCCAAGCCATTCCATGTCGTCTTTAGCCAACTTCCTTGTCAGCAATTGATAACAAGATTTTACAGAAAAGTTGCCATCTTTAACCCTTCCAACAAACAGAATCCCTTACTGATCTGTCCAGCACAATCCCTTCAGCGTTCTCCAGTAAAATCCTAACTCTTCCAATTTCCGAGTCATGAAAATTTCTTCTAAACTGGAGAATGGGGATTCCAACTTTTGCCATCCCAGCAATCTGCAATCGCACAGCTTTTGTAAACTGCTGAGCTGTAAAAATCAGAAAAGGCATTAGCTAAGGTGGTTTTTCCCCATACCACTTGTCTCCCCAAAATTTAATTTTCCTCCCATTTCCATTTGTAAGCTCTTGAAATTCACCCCATAAACTATTGATAAATTTTGAAAAAGCAGCACCAAGTGAACATACAACTAGAGTGGTGCATCCGAAGTCCTGTAGCCCATATTTGCATTTCATAACCTCCTTCCAGTGTTCCTCTCTCCAATATCGCATCTCGAAAACCATTTGAGCAATAAACTTTTGTTGTGAAATCTTAGGTTTCTGACACATAAACCTCCATATTTTTTGCATAGCAACACCTCATCCCATCTTATCAAATGCCTTCTTAATTCCCCTCCCATAAGAATATTGAGATACAGTTGTGCAAAAAAAAAAGAGTGGTGAGAAGGAAAAATAAAGTATGACTTAGACAAATTCTAGACTAGTTGTTAAGTTCAGCATATGATTACGTATTAGCAACAAATTAATTTCATCTGCTACCGAACAGATATGAAGAAAGGTGGAAGGAGGAAGTATATGGAAGAGAAGAGAACTTACAGGGTCGAGGTCAGAATCATTAGGAAGCTGAAGCATTTCGCGGAATATTTGGCGGTCGGCGGCATCAAGCCCTGTCTTGCGAGTTCTCCACAGAGCTTCAAGTATATATTCTATTGATTCCTTCGAATTGGCTCTCCCCAACAGCGCTAAATGCTTCCACACGCTCATCTTCCTTCGTTGCTCCCACTTGAAGGCGTCAATTCAACCTAGCTGGGCCCTATTGTTAAATGCTGTGGACTTGGGGTGATGGACACAAAAGCATAGAGGAATGTCCCAAAATTGGCGGTATTTAATTATTTCGGAATCGCATACACCTCTTTAGGACCGGATTAAATTATTCATCCAAGTTTATGGGATTGTCTCTTTTTTTTTATACGCTGGATTTATTATTAAGCAGTAAATTAAATAGAGTTATTACCGTGCCAGACTAATTTTAACGAAATAATTTCTAATAAGTCTTTGCAGAAAGTAGATAAAGCAAATAAAGTTGGTTCACTCCAAAAGTTCTCGTCACACTCAGCGTTAGTATGCGAGTTACAGTTGCTCCCAAACTGTGTTAGTCTGTGCGCCACTTGGTTTCTTTCCCGGTAGACATGCCTAACATTCGGCTGTCCTAGTGCGTTGAGCAGGAACCTGCAATCATGGAGAAAATTAGCATTAGTTTTACCGTGGGATTTGTCGTTTAAAAGGTTTAGTAATACCTGGAAGCTTATTTCCACTATGATCGGAATTCGATTTTTTGTGAAAGCAAGTTCCAATCCTTTTAATAGGGCGAGAATTTTTGCTTAGATAGTGACGAGGCCATTATGTGGCATAAAAACCCATTAATCCAATTTCCTGTGGAATCTCTTATGATTTCACCTACTCCTCCAATGTTGGAGTTCTTTTGGTGTGCACCATCTATATTGAGTTTATAGAGATTTTGTGGCAGGGTATCCATTTTATTGGAATTTTTGTTGTTATGAAGTGTTTGAAGTTATGGGTTGTTAGGCATAGTTCATTGCGTGTAAAACGATTTTTATGCTATCAATGTGTGTTGAGAAGTTATTAAAGATGTTATGGTTATAGTTTAGCTAAATATGTCAAAGGATAATTGGTGTGATAATGGCCAACGAGATTTATGAGTTATTTGGAAGTATGATGCTCTTAGTAGAGGTACAAATATCCTTTATTCAATCTAATTGGTTTGAGTGTTGAGTTGCTATGTTTAACTCTTCCCATATTGTAGTTGTTTACCCTCAAAATCGGATAATAATTGAATTTATACGCGATTTTAAGGATACGTGATCTAACTTGATACAAATTGAGAAATCATATTAATATTAAAATTAATGATAGAAAAATAAATGCAAACCACACAAGTTGAACAATCTTGGTCTTGAAGGTTGGTCACCTCCAGTCAAAAATGCCTTAATCGATATCGGAACAGAATGATGAGATAATAAGAACTGGCAATAACAGTATATTGCTTTGGGATGCGTATTACAATGTGTCCAATGAATTATCAGACCTCACTTTATGTAGTAGAGGAGTCCTGCTCATTTCTATAAAAGGTAAAAATTTCTTGATTTGCTAATTGCCGGTTCCTTGTCGATATGCGCCAAAATTCCTGCCGTAATATCTATCCGGTCGCGGATATTTTGGTCTTCCGTTTGTTATTTTCGAGCTCGCTCGAGGCTAAGAGGCTGTCATCATAAGGCAATAGAGGCGCACAGGAGTGATTATATAGCCAAGGCATATACGCAACACTACTGTAGTTTTTGCCCCCCTTAATTGTACTTTTTCTACGTGGTTTTTTTGGTTTTTATTATTAATAAAGTAGCTACTAGGCAACCTGCCTAGTAGTATAATTTGATATAAAAAAACTTTAAAAATTGGAGAACTATGGTGTTCAAGTAAAAATAAGGACATTTTGCTAAGACCATTAAAAATGGGGATATTTTGCCAAGACCACCCCTTTGGGGGTTACGCTTTGTTAATTTCAGGTAGACTTGTGGGATGACATTTGGGATAGGTCACCTGGCCCAAAAAATTTCCTGGGTTAGTCACTTTTCGGGAAAGTTTAGCTAATTTTTTAAAGGAATTTTTACATCTTATAGAAAATCTTAGTACCCTATTTATTTTAAATAAATACCATTTTAAAATATTACATTCTATAAATACCTTTTATTCTTTATAGAAAAAAAATTTAAATATAATTACATCCTATAGCAAAGGTTAACACCTTATTTATTTTAAATAAATACCATTTAAAAAAATTATATTCCATAGATACCTTTTAAGGTTTATAGCAAAATATTTAATTTTGGTTATCTCCTAGCCATAAGCCACTAAATACGCTAATCAGTTGCACTATTTTCTTTCTCTCTCTACTTTGATATATCACATTCTCTTCCCCCATCCCATTAAAATTTCCGATCTCCTCCTCCTTCCACCGATTTTCTTTCTATCCCTTCCCACTTTCCCCTCCCTTTATACGCTAATCAACTTTTTTTCATTATTTTTGCTTTGTCTTCTTCTGGAATTGAACTGCAGTAGAGGAGTTGGCGGCGGCTTATGAAGTTCAAGATTCTGATCATTTGAGTAGTACTCAAAATTTTGAGTAGTACTATGGGGCAAACAAGAAGTTCAAGATTATGGTGCAAACAAGAAGTTCAACAACAACAAAGGCTATGGTGCAAACAAGAAGTTCAAGATTCTGATCGTTTGAGTAGTACTCAAAATTTTCAAGATTTTCATCAACTTCAACATGGGAATATTGCTCATAATTTCAAGTACAGCGAGGAGATGGCGGCAGTCGTGGAAAGAGGATTCGGTTTCGGAGATCCACTAAGTGACGATTTCTTTCTTTCGCGATGAAGAAGAACATCTTTTTAAATATATTTCAATGTAATTTCAACGTATTACGCTGTATTTTTATGATTTTCATTGTATTCATTGTAATTCAATATATCTCGTTGTATTCCATGTATTTTATTGTATTCTCTGTCTTTTTTTCATTGTATTTCAATGTATCCCGCTGTATTCTATGTATTTCATCGTATTCACTATCTCGCTATATGCCATAAATGTATTCATACATTTTTTTTATTAATATAATTTATGTATTCAGATGTATTATATGATTTCTCTGAAGATTGTTATGTTTTGGGGGGTATTTTTTGGTTGAGAAACTTTTTTATAACTGAAAATACAAATTTTTGTGTGTTATAATTGAGTTTGTTGAGTTATATTAGGAGTCTATTATGTTAATTGATTCACTTTCCGTTTTAAAAACAGTGTAATCCCCTATTTCACGCCGTGAATACAGTCGAATACAATAATCTGTCCAGTTGTAATCCAATATTTCACTCCATGAATACAGTCGAATACACTCGAATACAACAACCGATTAGCTGGATTTCCCTGATTCACGCCTATTTTTGCTACTGTATTCATGAATACAATAACTTAAATACATCAAATACATCTTATAATCACATAAAAGATATCTATAATCCATAATATAGCAAATGATATCTATAAATGTCTAATTACTACTAAAAGATAGTGCTTTATGAAAATTTCCCTTTTTTAAATGAAGTACTAAATTAGCCAATGGATCGAATTAAATTGATGCTTATATTGGAGCTCGAAACTTTGCAAGTAAAACTCTAGCGTACTATGCTAGAGTTTAAAAATCAATTACATTTGAAACTCCAACATTATATGTTTGAGTTTGAAACTTTTAAAGGTGAAACCCCAATATACTATGTTGGAGTTTCAAACCAATTCTTAGAACAAAATTTATGCCGCAATATCAAAATATGTGGTCTGTTATAAGGATTTCATATTCACTAATTAAAACTTAGTTTTTCAATTTGCAGTTTTATGTAAGCGCAACAATGATAACTCAAACATAGGACCAGATTAACTCAATAAGGAACAACAAATTTCTCGTTCTCGTTATCTAAGCACAAAATCCAAATCCTTTCACTGGGTTTCGTATATAACTAATATGCCTCCAATGGATACATCATTCAAGTATATCTCAAGGAGATGAAAACAAAGGCCAAAATGATAGTTGGTAAAGATTATGTGGATTTGTCGGTCATCTCCCCTGCTTTGAAGTTCTGGCGGGTTAATCATTTACTAGTGCAAAATTCAGGAATGAATTTTGATTTTTTAAATTACATTGTACTTCAACAATTAATAACTGTTGCTTCATATCATTCAAAATCCAGGAATTGTTCCTGGATTTTGAACTATAAATGTTTAACGTCTAGTAGACATTCCTAAACAGACTTGTATTTCCGCATTAATGAGTGGCTACTTTGCCAATTCAATTTAATAGGTGGTTAAAGTGTAACAGCCGATTCAAAAAATGACTATTTATTACACCCTCCGTTTCAGTGTACGTGAACCTGTTTGACTGGGCACGGAATTTAAGAAAAAATGAAGATTTTTGGAATGTGTGGTCCTAAATAAGTTAAAAGGAGCCAGAATATTTGTGTGATTTTAAAAGATTCTCATTAAGAGTAGAATTGTAAGTTTAAGCTAAAAAATTTTAAAATTTAAAAAAGGGTCATTCTTTGTGGAACAGACCAAAAAAGAAATAGGTTCACGTAAACTGAAACGGAGGCTAGGGTGTACTTTTTTTACCACAGCAAAATTTTAAATTTAACAAGTTTCATGGGCACAATTTTTAACTTTTGAAAGTTTGCACATTGGTCAAGTGACCTATCTTACGACTTTCAACTTTTGACCTTGAAATTTTACTTATTCTTCTGGTGACCTATTCCAAAGGCGAAAAGTTAAAAGACGCTCGTTTATGGTGTCCTATTTCTATCATTTTTTATTGTGATAATTGGTTAATTACGTCGGAAGGATACCTATTTTATTTAATTTTTTTGCCTTATGCGCCGATTTGACATACCACATCGACTTCAGTAAATAAATAGATTACTTTATTATTTCAGGAGTGCATACATAGGCACCACCCGCCATGTTGTGTTACCATTGCAACAAATAAACTGATTTATAATTTATAATTGCTAGAAAAATTAAAAGAGGGTCCACGTGATAGGAAGTGACAACTTCAGATGCTACTATAAACGCATGGCATGTAGAATAAATGGTCAGAATTCCAAAACTATGCCATATCTTAAGGGTGATGAGCAATGACATAAGCAAAAGGTAGTTTAGGTAAATCACTCAAAAGTTTATACAGTAGCTACAGTAAGATTCTTTTTTGACCAATCCTATTACTCCATTGTAATTGAACTGACCAAAATACCCTCTGCATGTTGACAAAGAGGTGCCTGCTTATCCTCTCTTATATAATAGTAATGATATGCACATCTTAACCTATGACTGTAGGGTTGTGGTAGACTCAACAAGCTTTCACCCGGCATGAGTGGCTAATTTTTTCTTATTTGAATTATTTTTGGAACAGAAGATGATTATTATTTTTTCTCAAGAAGTGTCATATGCACTTGTTCTTGGTAAAACTTCAGTAGTTTCATGTGTTTAGAGTATATTTTTTTAAACAATAGTTTATTACAATTTATTTTGCTCAATCTCCTACCAGCCTTGAATTCTTGACCTAGTGCGCGTGGAGTAAACTCCCTTAATTAGGGGTGGACATCGGTCGGTTCGGTTCGATTTTGAATATTATCGGTTTTGCCTATCGGTTATCGGTTTACAAATATCATAACCCGATAACCAAACCGATAAGATATTGGTTATCAGTTATCGGTTAATCGGTTATTGATCATTATCGGTTCGGTTATCGGTTTACCCGATAAGGTAAAACTAAAACTAAGAGTGCTGAACGCTGAATATTACCTAAAATTACGAGTGCTGAACGCTAATATTTGTACAAAGTAATATTTGTACAAAGTTTACTGGAAGCTGCTATATATGACACTTCAAGGTAAGGACCAAAGCTGCACACAAAGCTGCACATAGAACAACAATTCAAAGCTGCACATAGAAAAATTAAACACATATTGCCAACACCCATAAACAGATCCCAACTTTCACAATCCATAAACAGCACACAAAGCTGTACAAATATTACTGTATATAACAAAAAACTGCACACAAAGCTGCACATAAAACCAACATTTCTCACAATAATTTCAGTTTAAAGTTAAACTTCTCACTGAATAATTTCAGCACACAAAGCTGTACATTTTTTGCCNACACACAAAGCTGTACAAATATTACTGTGTATATTATACACTGTATAACAGAAAACTGCACAGAAAGCTGCACATAAAACCAACATTTCTCACAATAATTTCAGTTTAAAGTTAAACTTCTCACTGAATAATTTCAGTTCTACGTGAAGGAATTCGAAAAAAAGGTTGTGCAATTTTCATAAAATTCATAAAACCTTCCTTTCCAACAAAGCTGAAAGGAAGTTCATCAACGATCACCATACGACACAAAGCCTTCCTACATTGTTCTTGATCAAATTTCCAAGGAACAACGACTACATCACCCTTATTACCCCCCGGAATAGGGTTAAAGCCTAGTTTTGATTGACTTTTTGCAACATCTAAAGGCATTTTTAAACACTTGGCCATATGTGTAAGGAGTGATTTCGTACCATTATCTTTTGAATCGGCAAAATATTCTCTTTTGCAATGTTTACAAACACCCTTTTGATTTCCTTCCGGATCAATAATTTGGTCGAAATATTCCCATGCAACAGACCTCTTTTTTCTTTGTTTTTTTGCTTTCGATTGAACTGATTGAGATTGTGATGTGGCATTTGAATTAGAAGCTCCACTTTCACCAATCACCTTATCAATCATGATATTTTCAGCCATGTTTTTNGTCGTGTGTCAGTGACTACGTGAGTCATGAGGCAGAGAACTGGTGAGGGCTTGACTGCTTCAGCCGTGTAGCCGGTGGCGGACTGGCAGAGAACTGGTGAGGTTTGACTTCTGAGGGTGAGGACTGAGGACTAAGGGCTTGACTGAGGGCTTGAGTTGAGCTTGACTGAGGGCTTCAAGCACAGGACACTAGGACAGGAGTGAGTGAGGATATGAATGACAGCGGCGGAGAAAGAAAAACTGAAAGCACTATATGAAATAATCAATAATGAAAATGAAACCCTAGTATTAGTGTATTACTAGACTAAAAGGTAGACTAGTAAATTAGTAAACCCTTATTGGGTTATCGGTTTACCCAATAACAGAATTGATAAACCGAGCCCGAACCGATAACCCAATAAGAAATTTTTTTTTACCCGTTACCGAACCATTAGCCCAATAACCCAATACCGATAACCCAATAAGTAATTAACGGTTCGGGTTATCGGTTTTACCCGATATATGCCCACCCCTACTCTCAATCACTATGACAAAGAACGGCCAATATTTTATTACAAAAGGTATTGATGGACTTTACTTGTGCTCGCTAAAAACTAAACCTGTTGAACGAGTTGGGCCAATCCGTCAACGACCCGGTTCGACCAGGTATAGCTCGAGTCAGCCCAGTCCGGTAAGAGGTGGGACATGATGGGTTATATCGGGGGGTTGGTCCGGACAGGGGCATGCCTTTTTTCATTACCGGTGTAGTGGAGCACGGTTGGCCCGATAAGGAATTACCGGTTTCTTACTGACGAACGCAAAATACAACACAAAATTAATGCTCACTAATCAAAGATAATATAGATTAATTAACGTCCCTACAGGGATAGGTTTAAAACAGTGTTCGAATAATCTCTAGTTGATTATTATCCAGGAAAATTAACACTTGATTTGATGACTATTACTACGATTAACCACTAAAAATTAAGCAAATAGCAATGGATCACAAAAGACAGAAGATGAGCAACAAAGAATATCAATGAGAGAAATATGGGTATTTGATAAGATAGGTGCAAGATAACTGACTCGGGATCTAATTCTTGAGTTAATTCACTCTATAATACGGTTGATTCTCACGAATTCAACTGATAATTAGATTACACTTGAAGTTAATGTTAATCTTTCGATTAAACGTTAATTTCAGTAATTAATCCAATTGAAGCACGGTAAACAATTGTAATAATAAAATAATGGTTATGATCTAAAGGGTAACTTCTCATGAATATTTTCCTATTTTCTAGTTCGATTAACAATTCAAGAGGCTCTTTCGATTACCTACTTGAATCATGAAATTAAACTAGAGTATAAGATGTAAAGCAATTCAATATAAAGCTCCTCTTTCGATTAAGCAAAATAAGACATAACTCCACAATACGAATTAAAACTCCATTAGTTAATTCTAACAATTATCAATAATTGAATCCCTAATCAAGTTATCAAAACAGCGTATCTGTCAACATCTTAATGAAAATTACTCCATAGCAATGGATTATGACATCTCAATAAGATTCAAAAATAAAGAAAACATCAATTCTAGTAATTCGATATACACTCTCGTTTTGCACTGATTGTAGGTTGAAATATTGATGAATTCTTGAGTCTTCTTGTCTTAGTTGGTTCTCCAATCTTTCGTAGGTCAAAAGTCCCTTAAAACGTATTTTCAGTGTATTTATACCAAATAGGAATGAACCCAGGCGAAACTACCCTCTTTGAGCCAAAGTAGGAAAACCTGCAAACTTATTAGTCTTCATGTGTCGCACAGAGCGTCGCAGCCTGCGTCGCATCAGTGTTTTTTTTTACTCAGTTGCAAACTCTCTAAACTCCGCATGTCTAATAGAATTTTACCTTAGTGCATTGCACTATGCGTCGCCGGCCGCGTCTCAACAATGATTTTTCTTGGTAGGTCAAAGAAACCCAGTCTCTGAACTTGTCAAACTTCTGACGCATATTTGCACTAATGCTTCGCACACTGCTACGCTCAGTACGTCACATTAGTGCATTTATTCTGGCTTTGCACTTTCTTCCCACTTTCGTATACAATGCATGTTCACGAGCCCCAGATGCGATCCCGGTTTAATTCTTTAGATTTTACTCAGATTTCAAAGCTTCAATTATTTGATTTAGCTCCAATTTATACTTTTAACTCAGAATCATTTCCTACAAGGCATAAAACAAATAATAAGTGCAAATTACTATTGTTTAAGCTCAAACACACATAAAATGCAGTAATTTAGAGTTTAAACTACAGCTAAAATACTGGTTTCTAGCTTATCATCACTTACCGGGTTCTAGCCCGGTAATGATAACTTTTAAAAAAAATTAGATCGTTGCCAACGGTCAAAATCTGGGAAGACTGTTGGCCAACGGTTCTTTTTGCATAAATGGACATTTCGGCCTACCCTCGTTAGAAAAATAGCGCTCCACCCCTAATAATTAATAAATTACAATAATAACCTCTTAAAACTATAAATATTACCCATTTTCTTCATTTTTCTCATAACTTTCTCTCTTCACCTCTAATTATTCTCTACATTCTCTCTTGATTATTGCTATCAATTAATTGCTATTTCAAGTTTTTATTTACGGTAGCCACTATAAAATTCCAATTATCAAGTGGAAGTGTGGTATTATATTATCAAGCGAAGTGTGTACTTATCAAGTAAATTGTGTTATTATCAAGTAAAGTGGGTTTCAAATTTTAAATTTGTGCAACATCCCAGTACACTCGTTTCATCTCTTTATCTTCTTTGTTGTTTATTTTTTTATTTTATTATTTAAAATTATTTATTATTTTTTTTAACTTAATTTGCATAATGAATATATTTAGAACAACCAAAAATGTGTACTAGTAAGGTTGGTAGTGATAAGAGTAAAAAAAATAAAAAGTGTCTCTTCTAATAGTTTTATACATGTTTCTGAAAATTTGCCTGAAAATATAAATGTAGACTATGTGCAACTATAAGAAGATTATGATATAGATGATAAATTAGATAATTTTAAGTCATGTGATAACCTTGAAACACTACCACATACATTTGGTGCTGCTAGTCAAACTACTAGGAGTGGCGGTAGTATGGGTAGGCCTCCTCTCCCTGTTAAGAAGAATCGAAGATTGAGAAATAAGTATTGAAATTTTTTTTACTAGACTAGAAGAAGATAAGAATTATGTAAGATGTAATATTTGTCAAGAAGTTTATAAACATGAGACCGAGGGTAAGCAAGGGAGAACGGGTCAACTTCGTAGGCACATACTAGATAACGACCTATTGTATGGGGTACTGATAAAGAATTAGCCAAAATGATTATTTTAGGTTATTTACCTTTTAGTTTTGCTTTTTCACCATATCTTGTTACTTACATTCAACGAATTTATAACCTTTTATTTAAAGGTATTTCTAGAAGTACTTGTAGAGCTAATATTTAGGCTTGTTGAACAATATCAGACATATATTTGTTATTTGTTTGCTAATCTTTCTTGAAGAGTTTCTCTTACCTCTGATATTGGTCGTGTTGTTAATGAAAATAATTATATAACTGTTATATGTCATTGGATAGATGATACTTTTGTAATGCAAACGTATTATTGCTTTTAAATATGATGAAAATCAAAGTCATACTATCCATGATGTTATATTGTACAATTTTGAAGAAAAAAATTCGTGTATGTCTTTTGATAATGCTTCTAACATCAATGTTATTATTTCACTATTAAAACTGCAGTTATGCTCACCACTTCCTGAAATATTTCATGTTAGGTGTGCATGCTATATTTATAATTTAAATGATAAAAGTGACCTTGAATTATTTAAAAATGAGATTACTTTAGCAGAAGTGGACGTGCAGCTTGATACACAAGTCATCCATAAGAGAGATAGTTTTAAATATCTTGGGTCTATAATACAGAGTAACAGGGAGATTGACGAGGATGTCGCACATCGTATGGGAGTGGAGTGGTTAGAATGGATGCTCGCTTCTGGTGTTTTGTGTGACAGGAATGTGCCACCTAGACTTAAGGGCAAGTTCTACAAAGTGGTAGTTAGACTGGCCATGTTGTATGGAGTCGAGTGTTGGTCAGTCAAGAAATCTCATGTCCAGAATATGAAAGAAGCAGAAATAAGGATGTTGAGATGGATGTGTGGGTATACTAGAAAAGAAAAGATTAAAAATGAATATAGTAGGGACAAAATGGGTGTGGCTCATGGGGAAGATTAGTTGTGGGAACCGAGGCTGAGATAGTTCGGTCATGTGAAGAGGAGAGATTATGATGCCTCGGTTAGGAGGTGCGAGAGGTTGTCCATGACGAATTAGAGGAGGGGTAGAGGGAGGCCTAAGAAGAACTGAGGTGAGGTGATTAGGCAGGACATGGCTCTTGTCACGACCCAAAAACCCGACCTATCGTGATGGCGCCTATCGTGAAACTAGATCAGCCTCAACTCAATAATCCAACACCACAATAGTGTTTTTTAAACAATAAATACGGAAGCGAAAATTCATTAAGGAACATTTTTGAAAATAAAATAAAATCCAAATTTCGATACAACTGCCCAAAACCGGGGTGTCACTGGGTTCAAGAGCGTCTAGAGGAGAAAATAATCTATAACAATGTTTAAATAAAATAAACTGAAATACATCTAGAGATAAAGAAGGAGAGTCAAGGCCTGCGAATACCGTGCAGATACCTCAATTGTCTCCTAAGCCTGCAGCCTCGATCAGTGACTGCCACTGGGACCAAAAGTATCTGGATTTGCACACAAGGTGCAGGGGACACAGATATCAATAAGAAAGAGTCATTACATGGTGTCATGGAATGAACCAGGTCACGATTCTCACGGTGCATGCACGCACACTCGTCACTTGGCATGTGCATCACCTCAATACTAACCACATAACACATAGTTCAGGGTTTCGAACCCTCATAACCATGTTTAAAAGCATTACTTACTTCAAATCGAGTA